GGAAAACATGCCTTGGGTCCTTTTTGGGTCAGTAGCTGAAGTGAGCAGCTCAAGAGAGGACCCTTCAACACCGGAGCGGGGGGAGATCAGCGTCCAGAAGCCTCAACTCAGAGCGGCGAGAGCCACTGAGGTGAGCGTCGAGCGCTCGACAAGAGCCGGCAGCCCCGCTGCGGCGAGCAGGGATTCACAGGGGGCGGAGCCAGGAGGAGCGACACCAGCCCTGATTGGTTACAAACCTGCCTCAGGGATCCCGAGCGGTCAGGGGGGGTCGAGGCCGTTTGTGCGGGCAGGTGAGCGCTCGCCTCAGGAGCAGGGCCCGGTCTGGGAGCGCTGCCCCGGCGGTAGCCAGCGTTGGCACCCAGACAGAGCCGATGAGAGGTGAGGCTGCAGTGCAGAGCTCGGGGTGTAGAGAGTGCCTGCAGGTCTGGTGAGGGGACGGTGCACAGTGGGCAGGGCTGCACTCGGCGCTCCCTGGTGCAGGTTCTCCTGCAGCAGGGGCTGAGCTGCGGGATGCTATTCATAGGCTGCAAGATGTCCGGGAAGCTGAGAGGAAGCAGGAATGCTTGCTCCTGGCCCAAACCGTGCAGGGGCCTCAAGCGTCCCCTGTAGCTCGTGGAGGAAAGAAGGAGGCCGCTCACCCAGCGAGCTGGGAAATAGTAACAAAAAAGAACGACAAAAAAAAGGAGGAAGAGGACAATTAAAAGCAAGGGGCTTCCTCCTAAATCTGTTACTGCTTTGCTGCCCCTTCAGGGGGCTGATGAGGAAACACACTCGCACCATCAACAGCCGGCTAGGGCACTGGGAAAGAAGATCTCTACTGGTGCTGCCAGGAAAAAGCCGCGGGTCATAGTAGTAGGGGACTCGGCTTTGAAAGGGACAGAAGCATTCGTGTGTTGGCCTGACATCAAAAGGACATGGGACTGTTGGAACAAGTCCAGAGGAGGCCACGAGGATGATCAGGGGACTGGAGCACCTCCTGTACGAAGACAGGCTGAGAAAGTTGGGGCTCTTCAGCCTGGAGAAGAGAAGCTGCGTGGAGACCTCCTAGCAGCCTTCCAGTATCTGAAGGGGGCCTACAGGGATGCTGGGGAGGGACTCTTCATTAGGGACTGTAGTGACAGGACAAGGGGTAATGGGTTAAAACTTAAACAGGGGAAGTTTAGACTGGATATAAGGAAGAAGTTCTTTCCTGTGAGGGTGATGAGGCACTGGAATGGGTTGTCCAAGGATGTTGTGAATACTTCATCCCTGGCAGTGTTCAAGGCCAGGCTGGAGAGAGCCTTGGGTGACATGGTTTAGTGTGAGGTGTCCCTGCCCATGGCAGGGGGGCTGGAACTTGATGATCTTAAGGTCCTTTCCAACCCTAATTATTCTATGATTCTATAATGTTGCTTGATTTCCCAGAACCTTTTCAGAACAATCATTTCTCTCTCTAGCTACATGTAAAAAAGGTTAACTAACACTGGTCTCCACAAGATGCTTCTATCCTGTAGTACTTTTTTGTGTATAAGCATGTTCCAAGCCACCTTGTACATTTCAGGGGAGAAACAGTGAAATTTAAGATGCTCTGGAGCTACAATGGACTGCTGAGTTTCACAAGAGGAGACCAATACTTCAATTTCAAGATCACCTCTTCATACTTGAATATTTTGCTCACTGATCAAGCCAGGTTAATGCAGAGGCAAATGGAAGTATTCACGAAATCTAAGGAACAGTCTGAAGTAGAATTTGAGACATACAACATCCTGAAAGCCACAGCTGCTTTCATCACACACAAAACAACCTGCAAAAGGTCTCCCTTGTCCCTCCTCAAATCAAATGGAAAGCTGCTAAATTCTTATCTGAGGTTTTAAGAATATTTTTCATTATGTCAGAGTTCATTTAGGAAGTTCAGCCCTGCAAAGTCTCTGGATGCTTTATTATTCTTCTTCAGCAGTAACAGCACAACTTTCTAGGAGGCTAGATTGTAAATCAGATCTCTATAACAATGTGAGTTTTGTCTTCCTCAACTTTTCCTGTACTTATTTTTAACCATTCCAGTAAGACTTACAGCATAGATCAGCAGTAGTATCAGCACAACCAGTACTGAAAAGCATTTGGGAGCATGAGGATTTCTACTAAATGGGAAGAAAATGAATTGCTATTTTGTAGAGTTCATTTTCTGTTAACACAGTGAGCAGCTCCGCAGTTGTGAGAAGGGGTCAGGGAAAGGCCATAAGTAGGAACAACCCCTTGGTAGCTAGATCAGTTTATCTGTATGTGTAATGTAATACGCCTACAAATCACATATGAGAAACTGTGCCTTCTGCCCTTGAGCATCTTCAGGCTGCATTCACTAGAGAGAATCCTTTGTTCAGGAAAGTAAACAAAACATTTGTATCACAGTTGTTGCCTGTGGCTCAATTAAATAGAGAGGAAACGATAGTCCTAGGTATAAAAAAAAAAAAAAAAATCACCTTTTCTGGCTGGGCAGCCAGCATTCCTGTTTTCTACCTTGGTTTGTTCAGATTTTTCACATTGAGTCAAATTGTATGTTCACATGAAAGTATGACAGAATGAACGTAAAGTTCATTCACACTTCATGAACCTATAGGCACAGAATTATTATTACTCAGTATGAGCTCTCACATAAGGGGAAACGTCACAAAAGGTTAGCAGCCCAGGGAATAAAGAACAGCAGTTCTCACAGTCTCTGAAAGGCTCCATGATTTATTTTCATTATGTAGACTGAGAAACAAAGTTAGAAGCAGAAGCATATTTGCTCTTTCATTTGCTCAGTTCAAACAATGCCTTATGAATGATTTGAGAGACTATAGCTCCAGGAACTACATCCTGAAAAAAGTACTGAGGGAAAAACTGTGTAAGCTTGCTCCCAGGCAAGTTTTAGTCAGGAGCGTTTAATACAAACATCTTTTACTAGGACAAAAAGGGGAAAATAACATTCTGGTTTTGGGACTGTTGGACCTTAATTGTACTCATTAGGTAAGACTTGGGAACAAGCTTTCATAAGTGAACTTAAAGACTACCTTCTGTTTCTAATATTTTGCCATGTCTTATGCTTTCCAGAGATTGTCTTTTCTTACCTCTTTCTTTACACTTATGTTTACTGGTGAGTATACAGGAAAAAACATTTTAAAACAAAAATTACAATTACAATTACAAAAATATTACAATTAAAGATTGTTAAAATATACCCATCTACTTGCCACAGAATCCCTAACTGCATCCTGGATGTGCTGTTATTTATCAAGAACTGTGTCAGCAAAGAATTAATATAAGCACAGAGTATTTAATGCTTCCCCCTGGGGAATATTAATCTTCCTAAAGCCAAAAATAATATTCTCCTGATCGTTGAGCAAATTTTAAGTGTATATTATTAGCATCCAACAACAAAAATATTGAATTTTTTCTTCTGTCCCTATTAACACAAGAGGCTATGCTCAGGGTATTCATAGAGACTGTTACTTCCCCAGAGGAAAAAGACTGCTAGTAAGTGAGCATCCTCTGTGAGAAACTCCGAAAGAGGCAGGCCTATATTTTTCCTTATATAAAACTGGAATGACTTAATTAAAAAAAAAAAAAAAAAAACCATATACATATATAACCCATATTACCAACCCATATACAGGTAATTTGGGTATGTAGAAACATATCTGTTCATAAGTATGATATGTGGGTGTTTAAGCAAGTTGCAGCTTAAGGCTAGAAGCAATTGCTACCAGAATGCTTACAAGTGAAAACGTCTGTAGTTAAACTGCAATCCCAGTATTTCTATCTGTCTCCACAGCATGGTCATTTCACAATAATTTAAGTTTTACCAACTTACATGATCCGTATACACACAGGAATATAATTCTGCAGTGTGAAGACACTGGCAAATTATGTTAATGATTTTACTTCTGTTGCAATCAGTCACTGTTTCAGTTCCCAGTGAATTATATCTGTGTTCATGGAGTCACAACTTGCCTCTGAAACTCTTATGGCAACATTTACAGGTGCATTCCTGAAGTAATTTATATCATTTTCTGGTGGGTTTGGGCTTTTGCAGTCTTCTTGTTTAACTGTTTAAATTTTTCTGAAGTTAATGGCTTGACCTGATGATCAGAAGGCTGGAGCACCTCTCATTATGAAGGCTGACAGAGTTTTGGGCTTGTTCAGCCTGGAGAAGGCTCCAGGGAGACCTTATAGCAGCCTTCCAGTACCTAAAGGGGGCCTATAAGAACCCTGGAGAGGAACTTTTCATAAGAACATGTAGTGACATGACAAGGGGAAATGGTTTTAAGCTGATAGAGGGGAGATTTAGATTACACATTAGGAAGAAATTCTTTATTGTGGGGGTGGCACAGCTTGCCCAGAGACATTGTGGATGCCCCATCCATGGAAGCGTTCATGACCAGGCTGGATGGGGTCTAATTGAAGGTGTCCCTGCCCATGGCAGGGAGTTGAAACTGGATGGTGTTTAAGATCTCTTCCAAACCAAACCAGTCTATGATTCTGTGACCTCTCCTTTTTTAAGGAGTGTACACCGTTTCAAAATTTCTTGGGAGACCTTTCCATTTAACAAGAGAGACCAAAACATTCTGCCTTTAATAGTGGAACAGAAGATAAACCCGAGAAGAAAAAAAATAACTTCTACATGGCCTTCTGCCTACAATGACTGAAACATCTCCCTGTCTTCCTGTGTCATGCAAGGGGAGGGGGTATAGAATTTTGGGTTTTAAGATTTTATTTCTCATTATCCTACACTGATTTGATTGGAGGCAAGTTAAACTATTTCCCCAAGGCAAGTTTGTTTTTTTCATGGTGGTAACTGGTGAGCGATCTCTCTCCTTATCTTGACCAACAAGCTTTTTGTCCTATTTTCTCTCCCTATCAAGCTGAGGAAGGGAGAGATAGAGGAGCTTTGGTGGGCACCTGCATCCAGACAGGGGCAAACCACATCATACTTGTTGTGAATGCAACAAGTTCATACAACAGCTGAGCACTTGTAATGTAATTACCTTTTGAGCAGCAAGATGGAGAGCGGTTCTTCTGCTACGATCAGCTCTATTAACATCAGCTCCAGCCTTCAGCAGTGCCTCTGCACAGTCCAGCCTGTCAGCCAATACACAGTACATAAGCGGAGTTCTTCCAAACTGGTCTTCTTTATCTTTCAGCTCAGAGTTGCCTTTAAAAAAACAAAATCACATAAACCAGTTAAGTCTATGAGTATTTAACTAAAAGTAATACTTTTTTATTAAAAAGGTATCTTATTATAAATTAAAAGGTGTTGTGTACCATACCTGTCTACCTTACACAGGTAAGGTGATCAAAATAATGAAGTATAAGATAAAGTTACTACTTTTCAACCAGTTTTTACTGACTTTCACAGGACATTTCCAAATATATTTACAGAAAAAAAGTACATTCAGAAAACATGAGTTCCACAAATATTAGCACCAGTAACATTCTGCAGTGGCATAATTTATGTAATTTTAAAATAGTTATACAGATCACGGCTGCAAAGAATACTTTAAAAACCAGCAACAGCACATTACCAAAGAGTCCTTCTGAAACCTGTAAATACTGTAACTAAAACAAGCTTCGAAGCCTACTCACAGCAATGTTTGCTTAAAAAGCATAAACATGTCAATATTACATCAATACCATTATTTACTTCATAGTGCCTTGCAGTATGGAAACTACTGCAATACTTTCAGCTTTCTTGAATTGGTAAGGTTAGTAATGCAGCAATTAAGCTAAATAAGAAGTCTGAGGTCCTATTAAAAAAAATCAAAACATTGTATTCCTATTCACAGTCAAAAAAACTCCAAACAAAGCAGTATGCACCCTTCATTACAAAGTTTCTTATTTCTGTTATGTTACCACATAGAAACTAGCACCTACAAATTCATGGGCATCCACTGACTACACATCACGACTAAATCTATCTCCCATGTAGCAGTGTTGTCTGCAATTACTCAAGAAACATTGAATTTTAACAGGTAAGGTTTTTTTTGAGTTGTTTTGTTTTTTTTTTGTGGTTTTGTTTGTTTTTTTTTAATATTCCCCTGTCTGCATGTTTGTTGTTGCTTCAAAAGATCTCCAGCAGAAGCATGCTTCTCCTTTACAAACACAATCTTCACTCTCCCCCAGCATATAGCATAGTTATCTAAATATCTAGTAATCTTATTCTTTACTGTAAGTCCTATTGATTCACCCAGCAGAAGAGTCAAGCAGATTAAATGTGAATCAAGGGGAATATCAAGAACCAAAGTTCATTCCCTACCAACCAAGTCTCTCACAAAAAACACTGTATATCAGGACACTGCGAGTTAGAGCAAGCATTTGCTTGCTCACTCCATCTCAGAGCTCCTTTAAAACTGTTGAATGAACAGCACATTGTTTTCATGATTCATTCTGCAACACCTTCCCTTACTTAGAAATTATGGTTTGCATTGAGAAAAAGCTTTCTGCTCTTGGGGGGGGGGGGGGGGGGGGGGGGGATTGTTGATGTTTAAGCTTGATTTATATGGCCATTTCTTTTTCTTAATCTTATTTGTATTCGAGATTTGTTTTCTCCTTTGGTTTTTAGATGTGTATCAATACCCCCACTTACATGGCTTCCACAGATATCAGAATAGGAAGCATACAGAAACAAACATTGTCCACACTGACACTTTCCCCTCCACAAATCTTACATTCTCATCATATGATCAACAGCATCATTTAAAACATGACATCCTAGTTTTACTAATTTTTTTAAGACTTCCATGTATGTAGAAAAACATGTATGCTTGTTTTGGATTTATATGCAACTTCAACTTGTATGACAAGTTGTAATATTTACTAAGTGCATTAAAAAGCAGTATATAGAAAATTGTAACTTTTTAAATTATTTGCATGGCCATTAGGTAATAATTCAAAATGCAACTTAAGAGTTGAACAAGGGAGTATGATTTTTTTTTATTTTCCTAACTTGTAAAAACGTTTGCTAGACTTTCAGAATATTAAAATTTCAATGCAAACTGGATGCAGTTTCAAGATTAGTCTTTCTTCTACTATTAGAAAAAGTAGTTAAAGGGTTATATATAGTGAAGCCATCAATGTTTTACATTTCAACCTAACAATAAATGCTTTGTTCTAAAACAATGTGATACAGTACCACACAACTCATGCAATGCAAACAATTAGCACACTTTTGTCAGAGCACTGGTTATACAATAAGCACTTTACATATATCTTACTCTATGGTATTTAACCCATAGGCTGTACAGAAAGTCCTGTAATTAAGCATCAGCACTGGTTATCATTCAGAGATACTTTGTTCCAAAGCCCTCTTTCTCTATATAAATTTTCTATTTACCTTTGATTCTGTCTATTTCTGCTCTTATTAGCACAGGATGTCAGAAGTAACACAGTACCCAGAACACACTGTATTATTTGAAACACCTGCTCCTTTAAAATCACAGGCTTTTGGGCAGCAGATTGCATATGCATCCATACTCATGAATTATATGCAAATACAATGTATATGTTTGTCTAAAATCACACAGGCTCCATCCAGCTACAGATGGGAAACGGAACAATCACCAAACACGAGCACCAAACAGATTAGAGGGGCTGCTCTAAGAGACTGTTTAACCAGCCTCTATACCCCTCTCCTACATTAATATCTGAATAGGGAAAACTCAAAGAGGAAGTAACAACAGATTTAGAGGTAGAAGGCCCTCCCTGAAAGAATGAGAAAGTGGGACTTTATGTTACTGCATATATCTCTAGATACATAATCAAGATGCAGAGCTTGGACTTGTGCTAGAATAACACACACATAAAGCTGAAGTACTGTCCTGAATTCGACATAAAGCTGAATGAAGTACTATCCTGAATTTGATGATGCTGCTAAGTGCAGTCATGAAGTTCAGTGAGTAACACCAATTGCTCAATTTACTTCTGGCATGAAGTCCTACTTTCAACAGTGCCTGGTAAACAGCTAAAAATATTACTCTGATGCATTCTTCTTCTGCTAGGCAATAATTTATTTGGTCCTGCTCTGGCAAAAGTAAAGTCTGTCTCATATCCTGTCAAAACTTGACAAAGCAGAAAAGCCAAATGCTGTTATTATAGCAAAGGCTGCAAGGATTATGCAGTTTTCTTTCTCAGGTAAAAATAACATGCAGCATTTTCATATTGTTGCTGCATGATACCACTAAAAGAATAGTGATCTCCTTACCTGGTTCTAATGGCTGTTTTGTGGTGTATTTGACAAGATATACCAGTACACATAAGTATTTGTTCCTTTGTGTTTTCAAAATACATCTTTTGGCTGTGAAATTAACAAATACACACTACACAGTGATGAGACTTCATTAACCATAATAAATGATCTGTAAAATAAGTTTATACAAAAGCAATTCCAAACCCAAGGATTTGCAGGCAAAATATTTCAGCCCAAAGCACTTCTCCAGAAATTCCCTGAAACAGGAGTCCTGAACAACTCTTCTGGTTGTCATCACTTACCAACTCTCCATTTTATTCCATGAAGAAGCACCAATCAAAAGCAATGGGTAATAAAAATTAAGAAAAATCAGCCATATTTTCAGGACTACGTTTATTCTAGAAATACATAATCAAAAAATGAAAACATATTTTAAAGATGTATCATGGCTAACCCATGCAGCTGCTCACTTTCTCTCTCTGCTGCACCAGTGTGATGGGGAGGAGAACTGGAAAAGGGTAAAACCCACAGCACTGCACCAGCTACTAGGAAGAAAATCAACTCTATCCCACCCAAAACCAAGACAAGATCAGAGCAGGAAGTCAAAACCAAAATGCTTCAGTTCTGAAGGAATCCAAACACATGTATAATAAAAACATTTACCTGCTATTAGCTTTTGGAGGGCATTCTTATCTCCATTAACAGCAGCAGCATGCACTTCAGATGCTAATGAGGAACCACTGAAGAGGCAGTTTGCTGAAATATTCATACTCTTTCAAGGTGTTACCATAGGTCAGATCTGCACCACCATTTTTTATAGGAATTCAGTCCTAAAAAAAAAACAAAACAGCAAAATAGAATACTTTTTTTCTGTATGTGTGACTTTTAATTGCCCTTTTTCGGGGACTTTTGACAGTTCTGTTCCAACCCCTTTGGGACAGAAAGAAAACTCCACTGGTTATTCAAGATGTGGGTAAAACATGGATTTATACAGTGGTATAATGGCATTCTCATTTCTTTCCTAAATCATGTCTACCCCTGAAGTTGCCTTCCTAGCCTGTTCTGAAACAGAACCGCTACCTTTGCTGAGCTGCCTCACGATCTTCATAATGATCATCAGCTCAGGGCCACACACTAATTTAGAAATGAAAAAGGCCTGCACACCTGAAAACTTGTTCATTTTCTCCAAAAGTATCAAATACTTAAAACTTCAACTTTCAACTCTCCTTATACTTCATATTTGGAATGGAAAACAATCTGAGGTAAGCAAACAATAATTGCATACACCAGGTAAAAAAAACAAAACAAAAAACAGGTGGTATCACTGAGGCTGTGTACTTAATTCTGGGGATGTTTCACCTAGTCTTCTGTTCAATGTTAATTTAAATATACTCTTTTTGTCGTATCCCACATTTATATCATGGCACATTTGGAAATCAGCAAGAGGAAGCTATTTTGCTTCAATTGCTATTGTCAACCATCTTTGCTTTATCTGTTCTATAAATCTCATATATCACTACAGCCATCTGTTGTTATTAAGATAACTGCAGATGCAGTTATATCAACATTGGGGGAAAATGTTTTTAAAATACCAAAAAGAATTCACTTTTATGTAAAAGAAAGTGTAAATTTCTACAGCAGATATTTAAGCATCAAGTAATAAAAGCAAAGGCCTTTACCTGCAAACAATAATAACAAAAAAATCAAATACAATTTAATACTTTAATATAGTTGTAGACTCTTCTTCATAAGTTCCAAACTTCCTTACAGAGCTGATAAGAAAATCAATCAGGACACTTCATGGTTAATCTAATCACTCACTCAAAGAACATCTGCACAATCATGGTATCAGTCCATATCATGGAATAAACACAAATATGGAATACACACATCCCTGGAATAAACACAAATAGAGAACCATGTGGCTGTGCAAACCTGCTCACCACCACATCAATATACTGCATTCACTCTGCATGGAACACTCAGGTATAACTCAGACACTGGCTAAAGTATACCACATGGTAACAGTGGACAAAGCTTTTAACACACTCGTGTCTAAATAACTGCCTTTTCATCTTGTCCTCAGACAGCCAAGAGCACCCTGTGCCACTTTTTCCAACGTTTAAATACATCACTGAACACTCCTTCTCTGAACTCTGTCCAGTTAAGCTTTCATGAGCCATGAAAGCAGGTCCACTGTGTTTTAAGAAATATACCTTACCTTCCAACCTCTCTCCCCTACACAAACTAGTAACGGTGTGACTAGAAAGGCATGAGATGCTAGTTGCTTTAAGTAAAAAAACTAGAACTCCTCACTACTGGAACGTTTCCTTGCTTGTGTTCACAGATCTCCCTTTGCTGTCTCTGAGTTACTTCAGAACCAGGAGTAACTATGGTATTGCCTAACTTTATCACGCCTCAGAGAACACGTGTTATGGAAACATGCAGTGGCTCACTACATTTTCACAAAGCAAGCAATTTCCCTAAACCGAACTTTTGTTCCAGACACCCCTATAACATTATTTCTGAAATTATCCGAGTCCCCCAACAAACAACTTGCCAACACCAAGCATGTATGGCATCTCTACCTGTCTGAAGTGACCAGTTATTAGAGCACAACAGATAGTTGATTCTACACCAGCACTGGTGTACTCCATGCTTGCACAAAAGCATGAGGACAAGCTCCTCACATAACTTTATGAAAGTATTTTCTCCTCTTTAATCATTTAATCTTTAATCTCCTCTGGAATCATTTCTGGTCATCTGAAACCTATGGAACAATGCGATCGTACCCCACCACTCTCCTCCTCTTCATGAGCCTAAGAATAGTATGAAAACTATGACGTTCAACGTCTCTTGGAAGCCACAAATGCCTCCATCCTTAGTGAGTTTGGTGAACCTCTCTATGTTTCAGAAAAGCGATCGAACATTTTTTGACACACTTGTTTTACCACACAAGTATGCGATCCTTCCCATAATCTGAAGTGTGTCATTAATGGATTCATGGCTTTGTTGACTTCCAGAAGCAGAGAACAGAAAGGAGTTCAAAGAGCTAATGTGACAAGAGGTTAACAACATTTCCATTCTTAGAGCCACATAAGGCATGGTGCCATCATACACCATGACAAATTACAGAACAGCTCAACGTGACTTGGTGCTTGAGAAAGCCAAAGAAATGCCAGTGCAGACGTGACAATGGAGGATGGACAGAGCTTACGCAAGCCCAGCAAGTCCAAAGACACTTTAAAACTTAAAGCATGAATGTTTTCATCTCAGCGTAACAGCCCTTCAAACATTCCAAGTGTTACCTATAATCATTGTTTTCTTTTAAGGAGAATAAAGAATATCCACATCATTCAAAACACTTGCATCATTCTCTGCTTCCCAAGTATCCTCTGCTACTCCAACAAAACTGCCTTTTTGACTTTTTTGGATGTATAACTGAGATGTTTCATTGAAAGCTAAACTTTTTCTCCCAACCTAGCAGTATAGTTTATGACTTCTGTTACCTCCTCTACATTATACTGCATAAAAGCAGATGAGGCATTTCTAATTCAGGCAAATCTGGAGAAACCAAAAGGGGCAACATGAAACTGAGTGTCAGTTACAAGGAGTCACAGTTCTTCCCCCTACTTAACCATTAAATTTTTTCTGCTTAGTTACTCCTACAGCCATAGAAATTTGCCTCCTACATAAAGGAAACTACAATACTCAACTGCAATAAGAACAAGGGTAAAAAAAAAAAAAGAGAAAAGGTCACAGAGATAGATCTATGATAGATCTATCATATAAATTATGAGTTTAACATGCATTTGGCATACAGGAGTACATCTTTTCTTTAACTTATTTAACTTCACCTTTCCCACAAAAGCTTCCTCTGGGTACAAGAAATCCATTAGAACTCTACATTATTGAGTGGAATATTTCACTTACTGCAATTTTGAGATACTGATTTTATTCCACAAAATTATCACTGATATCTTTTGCTACATTTTTTTGTACATTTTACCCTTCTGCAAACAAACTAGAATATAAAACATCCAGGGGCAGCAGCATAAAATTCAGCAAAAACTGAAAAACTTAGTAAAGCACCAGAAGCATCCCAACTACAGCAACAATTACATAAAACTGACTGCTTACAGAAGAGAATTAATAACAAAAGATGTTCGTAATTTCCAGATGAAAACAAGAACCACATCCACACAGTGTCAGTAATCACATAGTGAGAGAAGCAACGAATTGCTTCTACAGCAATTCTCAGGACAGTATCATAACTCAGTTGAAAGAGCTAATTCTGCAGCAGGGACATTCTGAAATATTATGAGGCACTCTAAAAGTAAAATATGTAACTTCCCTCAGATACTTCTCTCATGCATATGACAAGCAGATGAACTGGTATCTGGAAGACTTTTAATAAAGATTCTCATTAACAAAAAATGAGGCATTTATTCATAAGGGATGAAAAAAACAATAGATAACTAAAAGATCTGTTTATAAAAAGTGACATAAATGACATTATCTGCAATATGCATTGAATTATTGGAAGCAAGTAAATAATTCACTTTTTCTTCCTTAAGGTAACATAGAGAAGAAGATTAGCTTTGTCAAGTCACCCGAAATGAAGGGACAGCCATGAGTACACCAAGAGCTCTTTCAAGGCGTGTGAAATCTCATACTAAACTGTGATAAGTTTACTTTGCATTATATAGATAATCAGAATTACATCATTTTTCTATTCAGCAAAACTCGGTTGTTAAAATTTAAACAAGATCACTCTGTCAAATTTACTGATACAATTTCCAAGTTAAGAATGACTGCTATGAAAAAGAAATAGTATTTTTCAATTGTGAATTAACTCAGAAGACAGGCTATTCTACAGATTGAAGAGCACAGGTTCTTAAGGTAGATATAAGCAGATCTGATAAAAGCTAAGGTCACAATTCAGACTACAAAAAATTTACACGATTTGTGTATACACACACACACATATATATATACACTACATATAGTGGCGTTTTCAGCTCAAGAAAACTGACAGGCCAAATGATTTTTGCAGTGTCACACATGAAGTCTGAGCCCATAATGCTTTCTCTGACACCAAATTGAGTTTGACTTGCAAAAAGTTGATGTGAAGGATTTTTTAAATGGCGTTACGCCCCATTTCACCCCCTTCGCTTGTGTACATAGTGGAAACGTGAAAAACACAGAGCGCGGCTTTCCATGATCCTTTTGAGACAGCTCTGAAACCTCTCAAAGGTGCGAAGTTTTATTGGAAGAGGAAACACTGAATTTTAGGTGTTCTTTCTTTTTAGTACTTAGAACTGAGGAAGTGACAAAGCGCACAAATCTGCTGAAGCGTCGAATATAAACTGAATGATGACGTTCCGTTTTAACCCAATTTTGCAGCTGGAACCTCCCTCTCCCCCAGCCGCTCTGCTCTCTTACTCAGGCTACGCTCCTCGCCTTACGCACAGAAAGCAGCTTTCATAACTCCTCGTCCTCCCCAGAGCCAGTGCCGTTCCCCCCAGCCCCGTCGGCTGACGGGCCAAGGCGAGACCCAAAGGCGCCAAACGAAACGCGAACAACTTTCCAAACCCGCCCGGGCCCCGCCGCCTCAGCAGCAAGGGCTGTCGCACGCTTCCCGCCACCGCTGTGAGGGCCGGCTGGGACACCTTCTTCTTCCTCCAGCGCGGGCTACGGGGACCGGTAACAAGCACCCAGCACCTGATCGAGAGCGTAAGAGGCTGCGGTGCCACAGGACACCCAGGCCATCAAGGAGGAAAGGGTTAACCCTGCCTCGCCTGAGCTGTGAGAGGAGCCGCCGCCGCCGCCGCCGCCGCCTCCCTCTTTCCCTCCCCTCTCAGATGCGCTCCGTAACTCACCTCGACCCCACCCGCCTCCTCATCGCGCCGCCACCAGGTCCCACCCCTCAGAGGCCGGGCGGGGCCGGGGTTCATGCGCGGGCAGCCCCGGTGCGTTCTGGGATCGCTCCATCCCATCCCTTCCCCTCCCATCCTGGGCGCCGTGACCGGACCAGGCGGTAGGCGGCTGGAACTACAGTTCCCGGCGTCCCCCGTGAGGCGCGGGAACCCGGAAGTGAGCAGTGGAGGCGGGCAGCTCGGGCCTCCGCGGTGGAACTTGGCCGGGTGTTTCCTGGCGACGGGGGAAGTGAGGAGTCGCCGTGGAGAGTGGGAGCCGCGTTTCTCCCCCCTCCCGGGCGCCCGATCTACCATGAGACCCGCCATCTTCCCGCTCCTGCCTGACCCTGGCTGCCTCCTCCTCCTCCTGGTGAGCTAACCGGCACCGCGTCGCTTCCCCACTGCTCTCCCGCCCGGTTGTGCCGGTGGGAGCGTCGGCCTGGGCTGGGCGGCCTGGGGGTGGCCGATGGACCTTGGGGCTCTTCCCCCCCCAGCCACCAGAGTTATCCTGCTCGCCCTGCTTGTGCGCACCGGGAACGTGTCTGGAACCGGGTTGTGGCCTTCGCCTCTCCGGGGGACGACGGGGCAGCTCCGCCAGCACCTGCTCGGCGGGGAACGGGGGGGATGGGGGAGGCGAGCGGCGGTTGCGGGAGCGGCCCCGGTTGGCGGAGCGCGGTGTTGTGGCTGAGGCTGATAGGCTGCGGACCCGGAACGGGCCGGCGGCGGGGTGGGGCCGGGCCTGACGCTCTGTGGGCCGAGGCTCAGGAGCCGGCTCGGGGCATTGGCCTGGCAGGCGATGGGGTCTCGCTTTGGTGCTTGCATGGTGGAGGCCGGTGTCGTGCTTCCCCTCTTCAGGAGCCAGAGAGGGGAAGCGAGGGGAGGGGGTGGGCCGGGAGAGCGCTGCCTGAACTGTGCCTCCCCGAAGTCCGCTTGTCGCCTGTGTTTCAGTGCCGCTGCCCTTAAATAGAGGGGAGCTGGCTCCCGTGGCCGAGCGAGGACGGGGCTGCCTATGCGTCCTTTCTGGGAGCACGCCTGCGGTGAGGTAACCCCAGCTCAGCTCGGCGGCAGGAGCTGGGAAAACTTCCCGAGCTGTCTTGCACAGGCGTCAGATTTATCTTTAGTTGTCGGGCTACAGCGCTACAGCTATTTTTTTTTTCTTTAGGCTGGCATTACATGCATGACTTAAGCCACCTTCTGGCTTTGCACGTACACAAATGCAATCACTGATGTGTGTGTTTTGTGGAGATAAGTTGTCTGTGTGGCACTTCATCTGTTTTTTAAACAGGCAGATTTAGTGATTCATACTTTTACAGAGTTGCATTGGGACAGTCTCAGCTTTTCATAGCTTAAGTGTCTTGCAGAGCTACAGGGGTCTTGTGTGAGTAGGTTTAATGGGATTTGGGATTAAGATGCTAATGAATTTAATCTATTTTAAATATATGGAAGAATAAAATTAGTGAGAACATAAATAATTGGAGATGAAGGTAGACAGAGCTTTGGAAATCCAAAGGGAAGTACATAGTAATATCGCTATTAATGAATGAAATAGTTAGAAATGTGAGAATTACTTAATAAACAGAACAAGTACTTGTTATCCCTTTAAAATGTGCACTTCTGCCTGGGTAAGCTCTGGTTAAATTATTACAAACTTTCTATAGTTTTACGGTTAGTAAATATATGTGATTGGTAGAGTTTGAAAATAACACAAGTTTATGACTATTTATAGTGTGTTAGCTCACTATATGAGAGACTAAAGTGAAGAACCTAGTATTTTCCAGCCAGATCTGTGTGTGCATTAAAACTCTGTTGCTGATGTACTAGGCTGGCTTTCACTTAGTACAGACTCCAATGAAAAAAATCAGAGCATACTCTTTTAAAATGCCATTTAAATGGGCAAGTACAAGTTTGAAAAAGTGGATGTGAGTTAGTGAAAGCGTTTTTCTTTCTTCATGGTACAGTTGATCAATGCAAATTTAGTATGCATCAGTTCTATATTTGCCAGCTGAAAACCAGGAAATGGCTAACGTCTGAAGCTTCCCCATGTTTTAGTTGCTGTTTCTTTCTGTGTGAGTCGTTTAAACCTATTTCTAATGGGATTAAAAAGAGCCATATATATAAAACATTAAGAATACAGATCAGAGTTGTTTGTTTGGGGGCGTTTAATACAATGATGTATAATGTTATCTGTGTAGCTCTTCAGCCTTGTATCAGATGTGGCCCTGTGTTGTAAGGCGCCTAGTTGTATACTTGGATCAAATCAATGAATCATTCCTTTTAGAAAATTTGTTAAGAGTTTTGGAAAAGTTGTCTTCATCAGACTGGGAGGGGATCCTTTTTCTTTAAAACAGCTGAATACCTCCTACGAAGTCTGGTGTTTGATTCCTTGTGGCATTCAGATAATCTGGTGAAGTGTACCAAATAAGCTTTAAAATTCTGGTAACTTTTTCTTATTACCAACATCCATGAATGCTTAAGAGCAGCGTAACCTTTATCTAGTTGGTAAGGTTTAGGAGAGCCTTCTGCTTTTCATCCAAAGTATGTGCCATCTAGCAGAGACTCTTTGAGCACGGCAGTTGGCCTATTTCATGGATAAGTGAGCTTATTAGTGTTATTTTGGTGGTTCCCAAAACAGAATACAGTATGTAGGTGTGAAAATAGCTTACTAAGAAGGTCTTGCTTAGTAATAACTATGAAGCTAAAAAATATTTTTGTTTTCAGACTTTTGGATAAGTATGTTTCTTTTCTACATGAGGACTTAAAGTGCTGCAAAAGGAAGAAAAGGTACAACATTATGCCAACATAAGTTATTTTGTCTAAAGAAGTTTAACAGTAGGAGCTGACTAAAATTTTAGAGGGCTTTGGGTTTTGCTTTAATACTTTTCTATCTGGTGTCACTGAGGATTGGAGATTGTAGCACAAAACATTACAGGGGTACCTAGCAGTCCCAGCACAACTCTTTTCCCTTCCAACTTTTCAAACTCATGTGCTAGCATTGTACTGGACTTCTGAAAGATGAAAAGGGGCTGGAGAGAGCATGAGGGAAGCACGGGCTGACATGATCCCTGCCGCTGCAACACTGGAACTGAGTGGAGGCTGTAGAGAATTGTGTACAGCTGATTGCAAGACTGGAGTAAGAGGTAATGTTGTGTGTCACCTTGTACTTGTAGATTAAGATGTTTTTGCCCTGTTGGTATATTTCTTAATACTGGGTAGGACAGATCTTTAAGATGAATCCAAGACAGTAGAATAAATGCTGACAGGACAGTGAATAATCACATTCTCCTCTAAGGCAAGGTGTGGTTCTTTGGTTTTGCTCTAACCAGTCATTCTGTATGTTTGCCTCTACTTGCAGATGTGTATATTTTGCCTATAGAGGAAATTCCAGAACAAGATACTCTGTTGCACGTGCTACTTCTGCGTATGCTTGAAATACATTTAGAGAGACATTTTTCATAGTGCTCAGTGCTTCACTGTTAGGCTCATGTGCAGTGTTCCTAAGCAATAGACGTGTAGAGAGGAATCACCAATTGATAGCAAAGGAAAAAAAGGAGGAAATCCTCTGTGGGTGTTTTTTCTTTTCTTTTTCTTTTCTTTTTCTCCTCAAACAACTGTAAAAGGAATTCCCGATTGTTGCACTTTGAGCTGTGGAGGTTTGTTAGGTTTCAAAAAGCCACTACTATAGCTTTTCCTTATGGCTTGTTTGAAAAGGTGTGGGCACACTGAGAACACCTATTTCTTAATATATTTGGCAACACCTTTTGGAAGAGTATAGTTATCCTCTTGTATTCTGAGGATGTGAAATGTTGGAGTGTTTTCTGAGTCAAAGCTTAACTAGTCATCTAATAAAGCAGTAGTTTCTCTTTTCTCTTTGCTTGGGGTTATTACTGAAGCCTGGTGTATGTTCAATTTATGATTTGTTAGCCTACTGTTGATTGTATGCTCTTCCCTATAATGCAGTTTATCACTGACAAGATAATATTTAGTGTTACAGTTGATCTTGCACTATTATGTTTAATATTTTTAGTGAAGCTTTCAAAATACTACATACATAGTGATGTAATTGCAGCTTTTAGGAGTAGTGACTTAGAAGAGGCAGTAGTCAATAAACTTTTGAATTCCCTATTAAACTCTTCATTGGGAAAATACTGTAGGATAATATTTTTTTTCTTTTTCTACTACCACTGCCTGTCATGTCTGGTTAATATGACACCAAGTACCCAAATAATGAAAGTAACATGAAATAAAATTTGTTTTATCTTAATTTTTAATGCTGTAGTTAATAGTAAGTTGTCAAAGAGAAGTTGAACTCTGTATATTTTATGTAGAGAGCATATTTGTGTGCATTTGCCTCTTTCTATGTATGTATCAAGTTTTATAGCCTGTAATCCTGCTCAAAAGTTAAATCATCTGCATTTGAGCATTAGTCAGAGATTGTAGATACAGGCAAATTTTAGGCCACTGAACCTTATACAATGAAAGAGATTGCCTGTGAGAGTAGCATGGCATTTCAGAGTTGTCCATTGTCTGTCATGACCTCTAAAGAGTGAAACAGTAGTTAACTGAGGATCTTTCTCTAGGTTGGGGGGTGAGGAGTGGGGGAAGCTTATACCATTGCTATGAAGAGTTGCATTCTTCTTGCTATGCCATGTGTTGGGCAAGTTTCCTGTTTGGAGTGCTCAGGAGGGAAGAGAGGAGAAACTGTACTGATTCTTCAAACAGAAAACTTGGACAATGCTGGAAAATATGAGTTATTGACAGTAGGATATCAGAAATCTTGTTGCTGGCAGTTGAAGAATTCTGTGGTGACACACTCCTTGACTTTTCTTTTGACAGACTTGCTGTTCTCCTCCATAATCTGTTTTTTGGCTTTTTTGGAAGGACAGCTTGCTTACGCAAAATGCTGGTCCTCATGCTGCTATCTTGGGAAAGCAGAACTACCACTGGTTGTTCTTATACATGCCCAAAAGTTATCCCTTGTGTTTTAATCACACTTATTTCTTTTGAAAGACTTAAGGCTTATATGCTAATATTCAGGAGGAGCAATTGTTCCCATTGCAGGTTCTTATGTAAGCCTCACTTTTATAGTTTCCAGATACTT